GTGGGTATTTTCTTGTTCTAATTCTTTTATTTTATTTTCTCGTGCTTGCTGGTATTCTACACTTTTATCCTGAAACTCCTTTTTTTCTTCCCACCAATGTTATGGTAACTATGCTAAAATAATATATTATGGCCACTATTCAACAATGATTGGAGGAAACTCACTCCAATAAAGAAATTATAACTGAAATTAATTTAAACACCCAAAAAGATAAAGACATTACCCCAATCAGCCAATTAACAATCAGTGATTACCCTAACTTAAAAAAAATAGAAAATGACTCTATTAAAAACGTCCAAAAGTTAATTCTAAACAACTTGCCCAACTTGACCACCTTTCGTTGAGTCAAAAGTGAACTCAATAATATAGAAATAATTAATTGCCCTCAACTAGCAGAATTTCGTTGTTATAACAATAAATTAACTAGTTTGAATCTAATTAACTGCCCTAATTTGCAAGTTATTGATTGTTCTAATAATTTACTCACAAAAATAGAACTACCTTTAAAGGCGAAAAAACTAGAAAAATTGTATCTCGGCAATAACAATTTTCCGGAGCAAGATTTATCCCTATTCAAAGACTTAGTGAACTTAAAAGAATTAAGTATTGGTAACTATAGAAACACTAACTTAAAAGAAATAAGCACTGGAAATTATGGAAAAAACCCAATTCGTCAAGATACCTACAACCGTTTCCATGGCTCTCTAGAACCACTAGCCGAATTAACCAAACTAGAACTTTTAGAAATTAATAGCACCGATATTGACAACGGTTTAGAATATTTGAATGATGCTGTTATCGTTTATTGCTTAGCAGAAGAAAAAAGTAAAGTCAAAAATATTTACGAGCAGTTAGAATCTCACAATGATAGCGTACAAGCCTGACAACAGGCTAATCCCGGCTTAGTAATAGCGGTTTTACGTAAACAATTAAAGAAAACTAGAGAGGAAAAAGTACAATTAGAAGAGCAATTACAAACTGAAAAAGAAGAATTCAAGAAGTTTCAGGATAAAAGTGTAGAATACCAGCAAGCACGAGAAAATAAAATAAAAGAATTAGAACAAGAAAATACCCAC